CCCCACCAACCCCCTCCATTTCAAATTCCTGGATCATTAGATCTCCTGGAAATTACTTCTTCCAACTTGGGATCCCTGTATATATAGATATAGATATTGCGAGGGGCCCAATTTCTGAACAACACCTTGGCCACTGGACAAATGCAAATGAAACACGTAACCAGCTCCCAAAGGGAGTATCCTTTAATGTTACAGATTCCATTCACTGCATTGGCATGCAAACCAGGTACAAGCTTAAGCACCTGGGCACCCAAATGCAACATAGATAAAATGCTTTGCCCAAGGACACAAGCAACTGACTTGAGTTAGAATCAAATCCTGATCTTAAGAGAGAGACTGAATGGTAAACACAGCACAAACCAATCCCACCAATTTACAAATTAATACTAAACAGCATAAAAGATCCCAAATGTTGGTCAAGAAAGTGAAGGGCAAAGTAGATGACCCTGGCCTTTTGTTGGTCAAGAAAGTGAAGGTCAAGGTAGATGACCCTTTTGTATCACAAGCTCTGCACAGATTATCAAATTTTCTTTGACAAAAAACTGTTGTGTGCCCATATATAGTCATGATGTGCATATATATATATGGTCATGATGTGATGTCATCATGACTATATTTAGGCATGTCACATGTTTTTGTCGAATAAAATTTAATAGACTGGACAGGGCCTTATCATTGCCTGCATGGGTATGATATAGCTGACATTATGTTAGTAATGTTGATATAATACCATAAAATATCTAGAGAGATTCCAGATATCATGTATTAGTGGTGTGTTGTATCTTACACTGCATCTGTTGTAGGGCTTTGTGGTCACTCAAGTTTCAAATACCATTTGCCAGAACTTAAGTCTACTAAAACCTTAAACTTAATTCTTGATGAAGCTTACTTGAATACCAGTCAGCTGTTTTCTTGGATACACTACCAGTCAAGAGTAGCTCATAGGCTCCTGTTCCCGGCGTACTGTTCAAGTCGCAACAGAATATCACTGCAAGATTCTCACAACCATGCTGGAAAAACAAAATAAACAAAACAAAAAATACAAATGTGAGGTCACATTTACTTATCTAGATATATTTTGTATTGACCCCCATAGTTCAGTATATACACACTGGCTATCACACCAATGATTGAGCAATAGTTAAGCTTGTTTATGTAGCACAATTCAATAAATATTACTGCCATTACATTATTATAGCTCTGCATAGTTTGCAATGAATTGAGGAGTACTCTTTGCTGAAAATTTAAAGCAGACATAAAATTAATCTTGTTTTACAACATTGACATCCTATACATTTATACATCTAGTTTAAAGGAGGCAAGCATAGATAAAGCACCTTGCTCAGGGGCACAAGCAATGTGAATGGCCTTGGATGTGAACCCATGACCCTTTGACTGAAAGCCTGGAGCTATACTGTTGCGCCACATGTTTCATTATACAGAAACATTGTCATTATCAATGCCGCCATTCCAACATAAATGTCATAAACCGTATCCAACTTCTCAGAAATCATTTACTTTTCCAATATATATTGTTGACATTGCTTTATCATTCGTAATCAAGACTGTCAATATACATGTTCAGGGTACATAATAACAGCATACATATTTCTGTCTGTCCATGTGAGCTTTTTAGTAGAGATGTCTGTATGATAGTCTAACCACCTTTACTCTTTGAAATCATTACTAGCAATGGAGTATGACAAACTTAGGTCTGCCTGTGGTGGTAATGTAATGTAATGTACTGTAGTTCCTTGGGTATAGCCCCACTGGGGTATAAGGCAACCCCCTATGTTATGCCCAATTTTACGTACCAGTCTTTCCTCGGGCAAAAAACCCAGGGTGTGAGTTTAATGAGTACATTAGCTGTCTGTCACAAAACTCTCAGAAAAAATCCATGATTGGCCTTTGATTGAAAAAGTGCCTTTTGATGTAAAAGGATGTATCGCCCAACCTCCTCTCCTCAAAAAAAATAAATAAATAAATGAAATAAAAAAAATTCAGCCCAATTTTTTATTGAAAGGGAATGAGCTTATACTAGAGGATCTACAGTAATGTACTTGGACTAGATAATCTGCACCTTATGTTCAGACAATATCATAAATTCAAGTCTATGTATGGATGTATAGTAGAGAAACATCTCCACTCTTATCTTAGGACAGATTCCAAACCAGCAGTGTCACACATTCATCTCTATCTATGGACACAAATAAACAGACAGCATTACTTGCCTACAGAAATAAATCCAGGATCTAGCCACAAAGGTATAATGAATTGTAAGAAAGCTGTGTATCTGTTCACAAGGAACACTCTTACCTAGTTCACAATTAGTGGTAGGGCCAGTGGGGGATGGGAAAGGGGTGTGGATCTGAAGGTGGCTTATGACCCCATCAAACCAAAAGCCATTACTATTTAGACTAAGCATTTCTATGGCAGTGGCTAACAAGTCACGGGATGTGTTGGGGCTCCTGCATTCACAGCGGAATGTCAAACAATACTGCAGAGTGTTATATTACTATAAATTAATTTGAATTCTAGTAACCCTTTACTTCACTATTTGAGAGTATAGCATTTAAAATATCTATTTGTAGTGGAGCCTGGCTGCGGAACATTTTGGGTCGAAAATAAATTTTGTATAAAAGAAAGTTTTTGTCATGTGACTCATTAGCGAGTAAAAAACGTGGTATTACATTGTTTTAATTTGCTAGTTTTGGGTGTCTTTTACTGGACTATACTGTCACAGATAGAAGAGTGCAGTTTATTAGTAGAAGGGCCCTCCAGGGCCCCTTTGGACTGGGGACCCAGAGCTTCACACCCTGGAGCCCATAGGTGTTATGCCAATGTTCCATGGAGGTGAAGTCAGGGTCTAACCATCTCCAGTATCCCCTATGAGCCATTCCTGTGCATGTGCAGTGTAGCATGCTAATGTTTACTTGTCCAGGTATTAATGTAATGTGTTTGGATTTGATGTAGTGAATGTTCAAGGATGATAAATAGCCATTAAATGTCATACGGGAGTTATTCAAGGATGTTCATTCCCTCACTTCATTTTTCATTAATATACTATTCTAATTTTGAACCTCATCCTAATGATTAAAAAAATGTGTTACCCAGATAAATTTTCAGACTAGCAAACTAGACTTACTATGTCTGTTTGAAAGGAAATTGTTGATTAACAGAAATTTAAAAATTGCCAAAACTATAATAATAATAATAATAATAATAATAATAATAATAATAATAATAATAATAATAATAATAACTAGACTTACTATGTCTGTTTGAACAACAGAACATAGGGCTTTTCCCTATTGCTTTAATGAGAAATGAAGTTGAAATTGCAACAAAAAGAAAAGTTGTTAAAAGGTATAAAGTAAAAAAAAAGGAAAACCTATATAATTTTAATGAAGTGGAAAAATAAATAAAGTGGAAAAAAAAAAATGAAACCAAGCTCACTGCGACGTTATTAGTGAGACCTGAACTATGGCTGTAATGGTATTAGCGAGGTACATCGTGACTCATAACCACTGCGCACCATATGAGCCGACCTTGCATAGGAAAGTGCATTTTCAGTTCATAGCGATTCAATGACTGAAAGCAAAAATTTTTCATGCATATCACGGTAGTTTTGAGTTTAACTTAGCTGAAACTGGTTAAGCGCTTTAGAAAACGCAAATTGCGTTTAAATAATTTAATCAACTGTCAACAAAAAATATTTAAATGGTCCTCATGTCCACACCATACTGCGGATCGTCACCAAAATTGGATCATTTCTTCATTTTATCATGAAAAACTATTCTGCAAAGTGTCATTTTTATCCATCTATAACTGAGACGTAAGCAATTTAAATGACTCTCAAATTTTTACAAACTATTACAGAAAGTTTCATTTACACCCATTGAAAACTTTTTATAGATATTTACGTCTGGGATCTCAAAAATTTAAATGACCCTCCAATTTACACCCTTGACTGATTCATCGCCAACACATAATACCATCTTCCTTGTAACTTAGTTAAACTTTTTCTGAATGTTTCATTCAGATCAGTTGATCCGTTTTCGAAATATGTGGTCTGGGACGTTTTCCTTTCAATGGTCCTCAGATCTACACCCTACTCTGGATCGTCACAAAAATTTAATCATTTCTTTACTCGAACTTGACAAACTGTTATACAAGGTTTAAATTATACCCATTGATTTTTTTAAAGAGATATTTAGGTCTGGGTCCTCAGAAATTGAAATGACCCTCCAGTTTACACCCTTGACTGATTCGTTGCCAGCACATAATAACTGCTTCCTTGTAACTTGGTTAAACTTTTTCCGAATGTTTCATTCAGATCAGTTGATCCGTTTCCGAAATATGTGGTCTGGAACATTTTCGTTTAAATGGTCTTCAGATCCACACTATACTACGGATTGTCACAAAAATTTAATCACTTTTTTACAAGACTTTCACAATGTATTATAGAATATTTCATTTAGACCCATTGGTTTTTTTTTAAAGAGATATTTGGGTCTGGGTGATCAAAAAATGAAAAGACCCTCAACTTTACACCCTTCACTGGATCGTCACTAACACGTAAAAATTTCTTCCTTGTAACTTGATTAAACTTTCCCATAAGTTTCATTCACATCAACTGACCGGTTTTTGAAATATCCGGTGTAGACTGTTTGACTTTAAATCATTTTAATTGGCCCTCACATGCACACCACACCATAGACTGACACTAAATATTAGGAGGCACATCCTTGATATATGGCCTATGCTTCGGCAAAGCACAGAAAAATTCTAAGCATGGGAAGTGACCAAAGTGATGGCCAGAAAAAAACAGTGCAAAAAGATAGGAAAAACATAGGCAAGAAAAAAGAAAAAAAAAAAAAAAAATCAGAACAAAAACAATGGCTTTTCCCAGTACTGCTGGGAAAAGCCAATAAATAATAATAATAATAATAATAATTATAATGCGACATTTATATAGTGCTATTAATTAGGATCAGAGTGCTTTAAGTGTTACACTGTTGAAAAATTTATCTAGACTCTGAAACAATTAAAATACACTAACCAAAGACAAACCAAAAGAGGAAAAAAAACAACAAAGAGGAATCAAACACCGCTCCTGCAATTTATGGCGGAAGCCCGTCTGGACAATATTCACAGGTGCCATACCTACAAAATTATTTGCATATTAACAATAAAGTCGAAAATAAATATTATATAGCTATAGTTGACAAATTCTGAATTTGTAACACCTCCAGGCTTTGCTCTAAATGTAACAAAAGAATGTAATTTCTCTATAGAATGAAGAAATTTAGTGTTATCTCTAAGCCTGCAAGCTCTCCTTATGTAAGCCACCAATGCTGCAATATTACTACTCATGTCTTTTCTTGGAGGAAAAATAGAGATGTATCCATGTTTCAACAACCTCTACTCCCAACGGCTATACCTAGCTATGTTATTACATGTTTGATTGTGAAAGGTACAGTGAGGATGCAACCATGTTTTAAAGCCATGCTCCAAAGGAAATAAAAACTTTGAAATGTTTCACAAATGAATAATACACAAGTGGGTTTGGAGAAATAATCAGGGATGGTTAATAAGATAAGATACACGTTTTTTTGCAAACTAAAAAAACTGGGGGAAAGGCCAATTAGTTTTTTCAACAACCCATTAACATCTTACAGTATTCATTTGTAGAAGATATCAAAACATTTTCTTTTCTCCGGAGTCTGGTTTCAAAACAACTCCATTCCCAGGGGCTATGCAATTTTACACACTCAAGTCTGGCCATAAATGTAAGTCATAATAATAATAATAATTAACAAAACCCCTGAGGGGACCAATGTTCCTATTCCGTTATTGTTTATATATGCAAAGATGTATAGTCCCATACCCCATTTAGACTACAAAAGTGTACTGTTGTGTGATGATCACTTCAAACTGGGTCTGATGGAATAATAATAATTAATAATTTTTAACAATAATAATAACAAAATCCTAGATTTATAGAGTAACTAATGTCAAAACCCACAAGAGCTAAGCATAAACTTAACGGAATATTCAAATGAGACCAATACAAAAAAAACAAGAAGCATATTCAGAAAAGGAATGCCTGGCATTGGCAACGAACCTACCAAACCATAAAACAAAATGGGGAAGGAGACGTAAAGGCATACAGGCACAGATATTATGCCCTCTCAAACAGGTAAGTTTTAAGAAGACAATAACATGTCTTTGTATGTTCTGTAAGAGAATTCCAGAGAAATGTATTCATTTAAAACCTCCACTCAGGAGCTATTCCTTCCTATTTAAAACTGAAGCTATGTGGAATAACAGTTGTATAGTAGTATTGATTTCACCAGCAACATTGTTATCTTTTAAAGCTACATACTGTATGTATATTAATAGATAATAATTATATTGGCTATACAATCACATTGGAGTCTCACAGATCAATCAAAAGTATATTGTTTTTGTGATTCAAATTATTACAAGAACTACAAACTTTTCTAGGACAGCTATCCATTAACAAAGATCTTCCCCACTTGACAACTTGAAGTTACCTCAATGACTCAATGATGTACGCCAGCAGTAATAAAGCTACTCATAAGTTAACACCGCTTGGAAGTGCCGGTGGAAAAAGGCTAGGTCAAAATCATTTTTGACAAATTGAAACTGTCAGACGAAATATATAGGAATGTCGACAAGGAATTAATGGAACAGAAATGCAGATTGATAGAAATGGAGCTGCATTAGGTTGGACAGCTGTCAGTAAATGCACGGGAACTTGTAGTGCAGGCGACAAACATAAGGAAGACCAAACCAAAACACAGAAAATCGAAATTTGAACAGGATATATAAAAGAAAACAAAAAAACTGGTTAAAAATTATGTCAATCTTTGTAATTCACATAATTACTTCACTTTATTTAATCAATGGATTAAACACCTTTGGAACACATATATATATTGCCCATTGTTCCCCAATTGCATTTGAACCTACTAGATACCCACTAACACAGTACTCTCGGGTAGAGGGAGAAAACATGGATACAGTGCCTTGTCCAAGAACTCAAGCAAATGACCAAAGTTGGAATCGAACCTCTGATTTTCCAATTTTAAACCTGTGGCATTACTGCATACCACATTTTTCTGGATTGGTCAAAATACCACTAACAATGGAGAACAATTATTGACTTCTTTTGTGAACACAAATGATAATGCAAGTGCCATTAACAGTAGAGGCTGATCCAGGAATTCAAAATAAAGGGGGAAGGAGAAAGGGAATTTAACAGATGGAGGATCCAGAATACCTCAGCTGCACCATGTCTATGGGAGAAATGGCTGGAAATGGCACTCTCAGACTTAAATTTTTAAAATATATAGATTTAGGGGCCCACGTCGGTATGGCCCCTTAAATCTGCTTATGGGCACACATCAAATTACATACCATTATGTAAAAATCTTGAATAGAACATATTAAAGGCAAACAATATGCTGAATCTGATGTACATTTTAAATACATGATATGAGCATATACCTGTTTTTTATAAGTTTTTTTTAGATTCTCCAAGTAGCGTGCGATGATAGCTGTCTGAATGAGCCTGACGTGGCCAGCCCGTGGATGGAAGTACAAATGTGTATTCGCTACACACAACTTACGTGAAGGGTTTGCAATCTCCTCGAACACTACCACCTGAACAATGAAACAAACATGTTAATTTATTAGATTTTTGCATTCTAATGTTTCTTTTCCAATTATGTATGACAGAATTATTACACATCATTCCTATCATCTGGAGGATTTGAGTTTGTTTCCCGCCTGAATCACTTGCGAATATTTTGGAACGTACTTAGCATTCAGTATAACAAGTCTGGTAGGGCAAAACTTAATTCCTATCATTTCTCCAGATGCAAAACGCCATCAATTGCCATCAGCACCCTTTCTCAAGGTTTAATGACCAGTTAGATGTTATGCTGGCTAGTCACCGGACTATGTATAGCCACGACTCACACCTTTGCTTGATGAATATTAACAGAAAACCTCCGAAAACCCTCTTGAGATACCTCAGAGGTTTTCTGTTAATGATGTATATCAAACAGAAGGATTAATTCAAGGAAATCCAGTCGAGCTTGACTGGACTCAGTCTGGTAACCAGCATAACCTCTAAGTGGTCATTCAACCTTGGAAAAAGTGCTGATAGCACTTCAAATTTTTCCAATGATATTGCTTCAACATTAATAAAAATTGTAATCGAATGATCTTCAGAAACAAAAAACTTATCAGCACCCTTTCTCAAGGTTGAATGACCAGTAAGACTGGACTGTATATAGCTACACTCAACAAGATACGTGTGGCACCCATCCTCTACCTGATGTAATTTTTAATTTTAAAGAAAACCTCCAGAATATCCCCAGAGGGACTTTTGGCAGGCTTTTGGGGATTTCCTGTCAATATCTCATTAAACAGATGGCGTACTGTATGTGAGCATGAACTATATATACACAGTCCAATGACAAAAAAGTTAAAATCTAGTTGGTCATTTAACCTTAAGATAAATTGCTGATAGCAATTGAAATGTTGAATATTGCTTCAACATTAATAAAAACTATGATTAATAAAAAAGATTTATTGTAAATACGCTACCTGAGCTATAGATGATCTTGACTGTACACGTTTCAACATGGATTCATTTTTTGAAACACCTTGTAGAAGATCTGCATAGAGAGGATCTGTTTTGAAGGCTTCACAAAGAACTACATCATGACTTTCTAAAACCCTATGAAAAAAAACCACAATGAATTCAAAATTTAAATAGTTTTTTTTTACAACTTCACAACTTTTAATATGTAATTTGTAAATGTATGAGTAGATTGATACTTGATACAATAATCCATCTTTCACACTTTACTTGGATAGAGAGAATGATTCTTATCAGAAAGACTAACAATTTGCATAAAATAATGACCGTTGACAAAAAGAATCAAGGTTCTGGGAGTGTGTGATTAATTCCACAGCAAAACCTTGAACCTTTAGTATATAAAAAAAAATCAGAATGTTCCTGAAAAGAGGAACCTGGGCACAAAAACTCACCCTTAGAACACCGGTGGTAAGGACAAAATATCTCCTATTATTTTTAATGATTTTAAAATGCAAAAAATGCAATAAATTCTACTAGTACATTGCATCAACATATTATCAGTGAAAATTTCTTTCTGTGTTTTAAATGAAACATTAATTACACATTCTATGAAAAAATAGAAACAAACAACTACGTCAATCAAGTAGAGAAAAATATATCGGAAAAAATTAAAATATTTTATATAGAATGACAATAATAGGTCTAAAACTCTCAGTGTACAGATAATAATGTACTCTCAAAAACTGGACAACTTCTGACTTTGATTCCAAAATAGACAGCACAGTCAACGATCAATTATATGGCTGCTTCATCAAAGCTTAACAATATCTGGAAAAGCCATCTAAATAATAAGACATTTTTTTTCCGCCATTGAAAGAGTCCTCTTCTACAAAACTGACACCAGGATTCTGTGTACATTGTACACATGATGTCTAAACAAGTAGATGGAACTCAACAAAGTTCTCAAGACTACTAGCTAATGTATCATCTGACAGAGATCTATAATAAATCAAATCCAAAAAGTCAATTTCAAACTAGATGACTCCAAAACTCTGTGGGCATTGTTTTAGATGCACAACTGAGTGTATTTCTTAAGCTCTTTTCTGGAAACCCCTACAAAAAATAACTAACAACTTCGGTTTTTAGCAGAGGATGTGCAAAAAACAATAAAACAAACTCCCAGAGATGCACAAAAGAGTGTGGATGGCTGTGAACAGGAAAGGTGTTACTGTAGCACATTTTTACTCTAATTAAATGTTCTCGAGTTTAGCTCTATAATGGAAAACCAAAAGTACATTACTTAAGGAATTCATTATGCAGTACTATATTATTATTAACTTTCACAAAGGAATAATATAATGGTTTCTATCAACTAATGAAAAAAACAAATTAATCAAAAAATACTTAAATAGAATCTTTCACAAAGAATAATATTACAGTTTGCTAACCATATGGAAAAAAATGTACAATTACTTTACAACAGTATCATATTCTTGAACTTGCTTCCAATGAAAAGCCTAAATAATTCATAAGCTAATTCAGACTTGCATTCACAAAATAAAAAAGCTGTACTGCATCATGACTTGTAATTCAACTCTATGGAAACCTAAAGCAATATTATGACTTGTACAATATTGAGAACTTATTAAAAATATATTGTTTTTGGCAATCTTAGGTTTTTCTGCATCAGGGATCCCAAGTCTCTGGAGTCAATTGGAAAATGGCATTGTCTATAGCAGTCTCCCACAAGCTAAACCAATCTTCTGCAAATTTAATGTTTGCATGTTTTTACTACTAATATTATTATTGTCTCCCTGACGTCAGCTGGCTATAGGTATCATCATACATTACAAAATTCTGATGTGTTAAGAAAGCTCATTAAACCAGATCTCCCTGGGATGGCTTCTCCACACTTGGGAGTATTATTATTCTTTTTGCATTTTACTAAAGACTTCCGTGCCAAGGAAATTTTATTTTGCCTTAATCTATTTTTCTACAAAGCAGATGAACAGTTCCCCATACAAATGAGAGTTGCATTAATTACTACACACAGATGAACAGTTCCCCCATACAAATGAGAGTTGCATTAATTACTACACATTTACAGTTTGTGATTGATTTGCTTTTACGGGTGTTGTGAAAGTAGGTTTGTTTTTTATAGAATATTGTAGTAATTTAGTGATGCAATGATTTCAGATTTGTTCTGGTTTTTAAACACTGTTTGTACCACAATCATAGGCGTAGATCCCGGGGATGGGGGATATATCCCCCCCCCCCCAATATTTGACAAGGGGGGATGGTCCATTGAATCATCCCCCCCAATATTTTGACTATGTATGGGATAAAATGGAGATTTACACACTTCAAAGACAGTCACAGAAATAATTTGCACTGTATTATGCGCTTACAAAGATGAAAATTAGTATAATGTATTAATGTTGATAACATCTGGTACCAATCTAAGCTCTTCCTTCCTTAGATGTTAGATGTGCTGGCAAAGAGAGCCACATTTCACACTGAAGGGTGTGTACAACATCAGTAATGTTATGTCAATTCCAAGAATGTTTAAGTTATATCGGTTGATGAGGAATTTATTGATTAGGCCGATAATAGCAAATTGCATCAATTTATTTTGCAAAAACAAGATTTCCAGCTTCAGAGGGGAGCACATCTCCTGTCCGCACAAGGGCACGTATTGGTGCTAACACCAGGCTTGTAACAGGGGTCTTGAGTCAGAGTGGGTATTTATTTTTTTATTTTTTTTTAATTTTTATAGAGGGTAACCCTTCTAGTTTAGCCCAGTAGGTTAATTGATATTCAGGACCCTCTTTAATAACATTAAAGAACAGTACAAACAACAACATTACAACATAATAATAACAACAACAACAACAACAACAACAACAACAACAACAACAATCCTCATTCACCATCTATACACATTGAGGCCCTTCTTTTAGGTTAAAATGATCTATCTTAAATTTGTCCTTCTTGAGTTTGGGACTATTATGTGTTTAAATAACTTAATAGGATAAAACTAAAAAAAGCCCTAAAAAAATGCGCGCCGAGTGCGCAAAATATTTTTGTGTTTTTAATTCTAATTTCGTCGGAATTGATGAAAACTCCCTAAAATGTGCAATTTATAGAGAATTGGCCTACCGTAACAAGAAATGCGCGCAAAGAATTTGAGAATTTTAGGCACTTTCAGAGGATGCAATTGTCAAGGGGTGGAGAAAGATTTTCCAAAGATGGATATTTTCCCCTTGTCCCCCAGTGTTTTTAATGTTAATTTCGTTGGAATTGATCAAAACTCCCTAAAATGTGCAATTTTTAGAGGAAATTGGGCCATGTTAACAAGAAATGTGCACGAAATTTGAGGTTTTTAGGCACTTTCAGGGGATGAAAAGGCATTTATATGGGTGGGGAAGATTTTTCAAAGATAGATATTTTCACCTTGTTCCCCAGTGGTTACGCCATCGGGCAGCATAGATCAAAGGAGTTATGACAGTTTTTAAAGTGGAGAAGGGGTTGCAGAGTGTTGTGAGCTGTCTCTTATACACATCTAAACTTTCATTTTCATCAGTATTAGCAATTTACTCAGTTTCTTTTCCTCTTCTTTCTCTTTCCCTCAACCTCCCCTATTTCTTTTCTCTTATTACCCAGCCCGGTACGACGGCTTGGTCAACCCGGTAAAAACCGTCAGGGGAGGGGCAGTTTCCCCCTGCCCCCGCGCCTGTTACGACGCCAATCATCCCCCCCAATGAAAAATATTTTTCTACGCCACTGACCACAATAAATACTGGTATATACTGTAAGCTGCTGTGGAAAGTTAAAAAATTAATATTTATTAAATATATTTCAGATGAGCTACTGTAAATGTGTTAAAATAATAAAATAAAAGCTGATGTTTGATGTACAATAAAATATAGAAATTCATCGGTAAGTTTTAGGACATCAAGTTACTCAAATTTAATCTTATATACTTTGTTGTATTTAATTATATAATTTCTGATGATGCTTATAAAAGTGAAAAGTAGAATAAAATGGCTTGTCAATTTTTGGTGTGACATTCAAATTAGGTCTTGTAACTAAATATTAGAATCTAAATATATATTTCATGAAGTTTGCTTTTGTAGAGAATCCGCCACAAACATAGTACAGTACCTGAGTTTTGAAGATCTGTAAAAAATTGCTTCTCCTTCTGGTAATCCATGCTTACAACATAATAAACCATCCAAGCCACTTGTTTTCAATGACGGAACTAATGCATTTTCAAATAATTTCTTCCCAGTTTCTTGCAAGCAGATCAAATCAGCATTGTAACCTAAAAATAAACATGGATAATAAACATTGATAGGCATTTAAAATATTAAGTTTATTAAAGCAAACAATACAGACTGGCCAGCATTGCTTGAATCAAACTATAATGCTTTGGAAACAAACCATGGAAGCGGAAGGCGCAACAGTTGTTGTTCGAACTCACAGTGCAAATCACTTGTGTTTTTGGGCAAGGTACAGGACCTCATTCACCTTGTCTTTTTTTCAGTTGGTATATAGGCGGTTTGAGGCCAATATGCTGAATTATTTCATTCAGCAACACATCCCCCACCTTCTCCCTCTGCTCCACACCTGGATAATGGAAAGACTGGCAAACATGCACAACATTTAGACTTTTCTACTTCATTGCTGATCACAGACAACATTGGCAAACAATGTCATACAACCCCCTCCATGCCATTTCCAGTCAGTGGATCACTGAGGTACACATGAAACCACTTCTTCTCCATAACCTGTCATTGGGAAAACTGATATACAATGTTCAAACCTACTCCGCTTGACCACTGATTAAAGGAACACCGATACAACATGCTTTCTCCTTCACTCACTTCCCATCATTGAAAAAACTGACACACACAATGTGCAATCTTCTACACACCATTCCCTGTCACTGGAAACACTGACAAACACAGTGTACAACCTCCTCTGCTCTATTCCCTATCTTTGGAAACACTGACATACATAGTGATGACAATGTACAAGCTTCTCTACTTAAAGCCCCATTCCCGGCAAAATTTCAGTTTTTAAGAAAAATCTAATTTTTGTATAATGTTATAAAGATTTATAAATATAATATGGAATTGCTAGTTTAACTGAATTTAGACATTCCTAAGAATGAAAAAAATGTAAAATAAGACTGAAAT